TAATGCTACAGGAGTAGGTACTATTTGAAAAGGATTAGAAGGTGTGGCCTTATGGGAAGAAGTATGGTACTTGTGTTCTTGCCAAGATGATAATGGACTAAGCCTCTGAAACTGTAAGCCAGCCCCAATTAAATGCTTTCTTTAGTAAGAGTTGCCATGTTCATAGTATCTCTTCTCAGTTAAGACCTATTAGAAGAATATTAAAAGACATTTTGTTAAATGATACAAAATGATACAAGAAAAGAGAAGCAACTATAAGATTCTAAGTTACATTCAAATCCCTTCTTAATAGTGTTTCTAAGAAGTACCCATGAGTATCTTCTGACAGTGCAAAGACTGTCCACACACTCATTTTTATATGCTTGGACTGGAGAGCAAAACTCCAGTTCTAAAAGCTCAATGCTGGGTGTGTGGTGCACTCCTTTAATCCCAGCACCTAGGAGGCAGGGGCAGGGTCAGGGTCAGGGTCAGGGGCAGGGGCAGGGGCAGGGGCAGGGGCAGGGGCAAGGGCAAGTGGATCTCTGGAAGTGAAATGGCAACACAAACCCCCATCTGTCTCCATTTGAGGACCAGGCCTGATTTCAAAAAAGGCCATAAGGTACCAGCTTCAGGAATAGACCATAAGTCCCAGAAACTGTCATAAGATACCAGCTCTAGGAACAGATCATAAAATCCAGAACAAGATCCTAAAACCTCATCCCAAAGAACAGCCTGGGGATAACCACAAAAATGGGAAACGATCTTATTTCAGAACGAATGCAGACCACTGGCCATCCATGACCCCCTAGCACACACCAATGAAATTTTAGATTACCTAATTCTTCTACAGAGTTCCCCTGGCTCCCTATAAGAAGACCTGTGTGCCTTTGTCTAGGGTCACCATTTTAGAGAATCGCTAACCTCCGCATGCTGGTTGTTTCTGCAGAATAAACACTCTGTTTTTGCATACTATCTGGGTCTGGGGTCTTTCATCAGTGATTTTTGGACCCTGACATAACTGTGAGGCCAGTCCAGGACAGCCTACATAGTGAAACATTGTCTCAAAATAATATTAACAAGGAGCCCAAAAGAAACCATAAGAGCAAAAGAACATCAAACGTTAAAAGCTTTTTTGAAAAGTTCAGTTTTGGAGAGATGAACTGTGATTGTGCCAAACTGGTTTACATTTTCTCCAAGGCAAGAGCATGGGTCCACCCCAAGGAAAGCTGTACTTTCTGGCATTGGTATCCATGTTTGTGCAGTGAGGCACAGACAGAAAAAAACTGCCCCAAGGGCTGTAGTTTTGGACTAGAACTAGGAGGAATCTTTTCAACTCCTTTGGCTGTCTTAGGTGCTCAAGGTTGAACAAGATATCTACAGGACAGTTCAGATGTACAGGCTCTAGAGAGGATGGATGGACATCAATCAACCATGAATATGAATCCGGTCCCTTAAAAGGAGCCGATAGTGCCATAAGTACCACAGAATAAGGAAAATTCTAAGGAATTGTTCACATTGTAAACAGACGTGCTTTCACAGTCTCAATGGTCACAATACAAAATATCCATACACTGTTACACTGACTGGAGATCATATACTTGGCCAGTCTTCCTCAGGGAATCTTTTGGCTTTCAAAATTGCCTTATATATGTTGACTATCTTCAGATATATGCATCCATTTTACTCTAAATACTTCCTTAGGGTAGGTTTTAAGGAGTTAGACACAGGGCAGTGAATCACGCTGGATTGAGGGCAAAGGCCAAGTAGACAGGATAGGTAGATCAAATTAGTGACTAAAGGACCAATAGGAACTGACAGCTGGCACTCAACTCAAACAACACACCAGACGCATAGAGTACTGCACAGCTTCCTGGACTACGAGTGATGTGTGGAATGCCAGGTACTTACTTGGTTTCTTGAGCTTCAGGCCAGGACTGGAGGCAAGCTGTCTATAGGTCTCCAAGCCATCTATTTGTTTACTGCTTTGCTTTGACACGAATTTCAACAGGCTAGCCCTGGATGTAACAATTCTTAAACTGCTCATTGTGAGATACAAACTGACATTTGAAGGTTGTTTTCATTGGAATTGTGAACCCCGAAGGTTTATCAATGCTTGATAAGACTATACATTTAATGTATATTAATTTAGGGAGAAGAAAAAGATTTCTTATTTGCATATTAACATTTCTTTGTGAAAGTGGCTATTTAAGTATTTCAGTGTATTTATTAGAAACATAATGTAAGGAAAATCAATTTAAATGAAATAGAATTAAGCAATTCTGTAGCCCTTGCTGTGTGGGCTGGGAAGAAGTGGGCCTGTGAGGGCTGAGTACTCCACTAGTTCTGGTGTATCAAGCTCCAGGGATACCTTGAGAGACCAGAATGGATTAAACAAATGCTAGTCAAGGCCCTCAATGACATAGTAGCAAGAGTTTAACACAACCTTTAGCAATACACCTACTATTTTACATATCAGGCATACTGTTCTTTATCAGGGAAAGAATCATGGGTTTACCAGACTGGGACAGCTAAAGTAGAATAAATTGAGGGCTGTCATAAACCTAATTTAGGATTTCTCAAACTCTTGACGTACTGTCAAAGACTGGCTTTCATGTTCTTGTGTGGAAGGACAACTTAAATTTCCTTGTCTGTGATATAGAATGTGATCTTAGTGTTTTGCTTCTGATCTACAGCCCAGTGGCACTCACTCACCTAAGAATGGAATTTAAACGACTATTACTTTACCCACTCAATGTAACACTCAGTTACAACACTCAGTACAGTGGTTCTCAACAAGGGTCACATATCAAACATCCTGCATGTAAGCTGTTTACATTATGATTCATAACAGGAGCAAAGTACAGCTACGTATGAAGCAGCAACAAAATACTTTATGGTTGGAAGTCACCACAGTACGAGAAAAATCTATTAAAGGGTCTCAGTATTAGGAAGGTTGAGAACCACTGCTGGAGTGAAATGTAGCAAAGGCTGCCCTGTGCCAAAAAGTGGTTTTGTTATTGTAGCTGTTCTTCATGTGTCTGTATGGGAGCCTTTAGCAAGGGATACATGAGTAACTAAATGGTAGTTGATACAAATTCAATGTATTGTCAGTTTCAGACATGCAGCAGACACTTAAGAAGCAAGAACAAAGTAGCCAGGATGGTGTTGTATGCACTTAGGAGTTGGAGAGAGGAACATTTGAGTTCAAGACTAGCCTGGGGTATATAGTGAGACTGTTGAAAAGAGGAAAATCACCATGGAGCTTCACAACTTTAAATTTGAGCTCAGCTTTAACATCCAGAATGTGGTCTGTCTTATCGATTAGTCTTTATGTTTCTTTTGCTTGTTTGTTTTGGTTGGTTGGTTTTGTTTTGTTTTTTTTTTGTTTGGTTTTTGAAACAGGGTCTCATTAGGTAGCCCTGCTTGACCTAGAACTTACTATATAGTGATTAAAGTCATGACCGAATACTCCAGGTTTGGAGGCAGAAGCAGGTGAATCTCTTTGAGTTCAAGGCTAGTCTGGTTGACATAGTATCTTCAAGGTCTGCCAGTGGTGTATGCAGAGACCCTGTCTAAAAAAAGAAAAAAGATGAAGAAGAAAGAGAGAAAAAAAGCTATTTGTTTTGGATACATATTGAAATGATCTTTCTGGTAATAAAATATATTCATTTTTTAAAAACAATGTAATTTATTATTAGTGTCTGTGTGTGTGTGTGCATGTGTATGAGTGTAGATCAGAGGATGACTGGTAGTTATGTTCCTCAGGAAAGATGCTTACTTTGAGATGAAGATTCTCATTGATCTGGAGCTTTTCAGGTAGGGTAGACCATCTGTCTGTCTGCCTCTCAGGGCTGAGGCTACACGTGTGCTACACCTGGATTTTTTTCTTTTTCTTTTCTTTTTTTTTTTTTTTGTTTTTGCTTTTGTTTTTAAATCTGAGTTCTGTGGGTCAAATTTAGTTCCTCCTGCTTGGCAGACCAGCCTATCTCCCTTTTTGCATTTTTATCAGGAAATCTGTGGTTTACCTTATATTCTACTGGAAAGCACAAACCCAGATGATTCCCGTTCAGTTCAATACTCTTGAATGCTTTATCAGGCATCTCAGTTACACAGCGCTCTACTCATTCAGAGATGTAGAGTAGCACAGTCACACAGTGCCCTACTCATTCAGAGATGCAGCAGTAATACAGCGCTGGTTCTCATGCTTAGAAGACAGCTTTGCTTTACACATTTGGGAGCATATGACATTGGGTTAGGAAGGATGTGTGGGACATACAAAGTTGATGATAGCTTGACTGTCTCCTACAATCTTTTCTTCCTATTCTCTCTCACATTTCCAACCCCCCACTTCCTTAGTTTTCACTGTGAACAAGGTCTCTGTCCACCTCCATACCTCAGATCTGGTTGTATTCAGTGTCAGAAAGCCTGTCCTGAAGAGGGACTCCACATACTTTGTAGGCCTCTAAGAGGCTCATGAAGAGGGATTAGGCAGTCTATAAGCAAAGATAAGATATTCAACGAAAAGTATGGTTCTATCTAGCATTCGGAGGTTTGCCATTAACAGGCATTTAGACATTTTCTGTGATGTTCATGCAATATCTTTCACATATCACTGCTTTGAAATGATAATAGTGAGCAGACCCTTAGTTGTTTTCGTTTTTAATGTAGTAGCTAACAAAAGCATGTTTACTATGCCACAGATAACATGTTCTAGATATAACATAGCTACATTAATACAGTGGGATTACTTTACACCCTAGGCTTTATTCTATATATTTAAAGGCTTTTTTGTTTCTGACCATAATCTGTGGGCTGCACTAAATGAAGCGACTAGGCGTATACAGTAAGACTGTTAGCCTAGAAGCTCGTTTAAGCAAATTTTAGTGTCTGATGAACTGCTACATAAACATCGTGCCTTTCCTTTGTTTCTGTATGCTGAAAAGTCTCATTTCTGCCCTCGAATGTCATACGAATTTGTTGACCTTGAAAACTCCTGCTCTGCCTAAGAATTTTTTTCTCCTAGGGTAGAGAGAACACCACGTCACTCTTCCTAGCTCCTGGATTGGAAAAAGTTCAGCTTCCTCATCCATCACCCAATCCACTGCTTTAAGCCTAAAGTAAGATATACACACAAATATTAAAAAAATGATTTCTCCTTTTGTGTGATATTTAATAATCTGTTACTGTCTTAGTTAGGGTTTTACTGCTGTGAACAGACACCATGACCAAGGCAACTCTTATAAGGACAACATTTATAAGTGGCTGGTTTACAGATTCAAAAGCTCAGTCCATTATCATCATGGCAAAAACATGGCAGCATCCAGGAAGGCATGGTACAGGAGAAGCTAAGAGATCTACATCTTCATCTGAAGGATGCTAGCATAATACTGGCTCCCAGGCAGCTAGAACAAGGGTATTAAAGCGCACACCCAAAAGGCCATACCTACTCCAAGAAGGCCACAACTTTCAACAGTGCCACTCCTTGGGCCAAGCATATACAAACCACCACAGTTACTAAATAAGGTGAACATTAAAAAATCATTTGACATGCCAGGCAGTGGTGGTGCACGCCTTTAATCCCAGCACTTGGGAGGCAGAGGCAGGCGGATTTCTGAGTTCTAGAGTTAGAGGCTAGCCTGGTCTACAGAGTGAGTTTCAGGACAGCCAGGGCTACACAGAGAAACCCTGTCTCGAAAAAAACCAAAAAAAAATCATTTGACTTAAAATATTGAGTAGAGGTTGGAATAGAGGCTGCAGGAAGAGCACGTACTAATGTGGATCTCACCACCACCCTCTCTGCTGGGGATCAAACCCATGAAATTACCTGCTGTTCTAAGAGAACCTTGAGAAATTACCTGCTGTTCTAAGAGAACCTCAAGAAATTACCTGCTGTTCTGGACAGCTTAGTCAGATAAGGTTAAGAAAGTATGGTCATTGTCTCAGGTCCCAGGAACTTAAAGAACGTCTGATATTTCCTGGGGTTACAACAGTGGGATGGTCTTAGGCAATGAGGATATGATAGTGGGATAGACTTAAGCAATGATCCTTGCCTAAACTTCCTGTTTTGCCATGTCTTTATAACCTGTCACCTCAAATTAAAATTTAAGCACTTGATCAAGACTTTTTAAGACTTGAGCTTCTTCTTTGTGTCTCTTGTCCTTTCATTCTTTCTCCTTCCTCCCCAGGTCACTCACTGAATTCCCCGTGGGCCAGGGTAGTTCTCCTTCCATATGTAAAGCCAACATGATGTGACAACATTCTGATGGTGGGTGATGACACTGGGTATCATTGTGAGTAGCTTGACATAAGATGCTAACATTTACTAATATTTAGGAAGACAAGTGAAATAGGTACAAATATTTTATGCTACTTCTGTACTTTTTATGTCAGAAATTATTCCAATGTGAAATGTTTAAGAGTTAAAATATCATCATCATGTACTCAACTTTATAGTACTTAATCAAAACGTGATATCAAGAACCAAACCAAAACAAAATAGGGTATATTTGAGGGAATTACAAATTATTTTAAAAAACTCATGAAGGCATTAAAAATGTAAACCAAAAGCTCAGTGGGGCACTGTGGCATGTGGCTGAAGCAGGAGAACCAAGAGTGTGAGGTGAAACTGTGTCCCAGAAAGACTGGCTAACCACTAAAATCCAAGAAAACACAGAGTGAAACCAAACCACTGCAGTCACAATATCTTGCTCCAGAAGGTACAAGACCTTGAACTTCAAGCTCCTTGAACTGCACTGTGAACTTAAGAACAGACACGGCTGGTTAGGAAGTGAAAGACCGGGAGGTGGAGAGTCAGCTCAGTAGTTTGAAATATTTTTGTTCTTACAGAGGACTTAGGTTCCATTTCCAGCATCCACATAGCAGCACGCAACCATCTGTAACTTCAGTGCAGAGGGATTTAACATTTTTTTTTTGACAGGCACCATGAATGTGGTGGATATTCATACATACAGGCAAAATATTCATATACCTTACATATAAAAGTAAAAGAGAAAGACTGTCAATGCATTCTTCTAGAACAGTCTACGTTGGCTACTAAAACCAGGCAAAGAAAACAAACTGAGCCAAACCAAAGTAGTATGAACTGAATAAGGCAAAGTCATTTCTCACATAAAATACAGTAGTGAATTAAAACTACACATTTTGATATATGCAGGATTTATGCAGATTATTAAATAATTTGAAAAATTTAAAGTGACTTAGATTTTATACACTAAATAAAAACTTCCTCCAAACCACCACCACCACCACCAAAACCAGTTTAGATAGTAAAAAGCAAGAAAAGAGGCTCATCATTACGAGATTCCTAGCATCCTAACTAATGCAATAGAAAAAGAGTAGAAATCAATGGGTATGGCATTATACAAACGGTTGTGGACATCAAAATCTATTTAGAAAATCAACAGAAAACAATTGAGAGCCATTACCAGTAGGATGACTGTTCACACACCACCACCACCACACACACACACACACACACACACACACACACACACAGACACACACTCGTCAGACTTCAAATTAATCAGGGAAATTAATAAGGGAAAGATTAGTTCCCTTAATATAAAATGGTGTAGCAGCCTCAGACAGTAATCCCAACATCCAGGAGTGTTGGCAGCAAATATCTTTATCAGGAGCTCTTGCTGGCTCAGTCTTTTACTTTTAATCCATTTTTACATATTCACCTTCTCGTTAAATTTTTATTTGAACAAGCATCACATAATAGAGGAGGACATTTCTTGCCAAGCACTAATGATGGATAAGTCTATAAATGAGTTTTTCCCCCAATGTGGTCTGTGCACAGGAACACTTTAGTTCTGGGTAGGCTTCTTGTTCTATACACATTTGTGACACGTGTTCAGGAAGACAAACAAGAACATATACTGTAAAAAGGCACACATGCATGAGAGGGCGTGACAAACAGCTAAAAATAACTGGAGATTTTTGCAACCTGCTTTTCCCCCATGTCACCTTGTCTAGTGCTAGGGTTTCTGTGCAGAATTACTGGTGAACAGTAAAGACATTATTCAAAAATGCTGTATAAGAAGTATGGAGAACATTGACAGCTTTGCTGTTTCAAATTAAATTAAAAAGACATCTGCTCCTTAACGAGCAGTTCAACTGCCTGTGTGCTGAGGCAAAGCGAGCATAGTGGCGACGAGTGTTGACATTCTCAATAGTGCTGCTTTGTGATGCAAAAGCATCATGGTTTTGTTTTGTTCTGAGGATGCAGTCCAGGGCTGCCATGAACATAAGCACACAAATGACTGAATGGGCGTTGCTCAAATAGCCATGTTTCTGGCCTTCCAGAGCCACTCAAAATCTTTCCACTGGTTTTGCTTTCCCCAGGTCCATCCTAGCCAGAACAACAATGGACAGTGGCTACGGAGATCCACTGACAACTGCCTTCTTAATAAATGTGAACTCATTTTTTATTTTTATTAACATACCATTTAGAGATACATTAAGACATATGTTTACTATCTGAGTGTTTTGCATGCATGTGCATATGTGCACCATGTGTATGTGTTCCCATGGAGGAAAAGAGAGCACTGAAACTATGGAGCTAGAGTTACAGTTATGAGTCACCATATGGTTCTTTAGCAGCTAGTCCTCTTAACCACTGAGCTGTCTTTCCATCCCTGAATGCACTTTTTAGATGAATAATTAAGCAACATGTATTCTTCCCCTCCTTTAAATTCAATTTTATTTAAGGAGTATAATCTTTATTATTATAGTCTTATTAGTTAGCAACAAGGATCTGGGTTTTACTGTGACATTTTGTTAGCATTACTACCTACCACATAGATACCATAATTGCTGTTATTCACTCCCCAACCCCCTCTGCCGCCCGTATTGGCCCCTTCACAAATAAACCTCTCTTCTGCTTTCATGACACAGATATTATTACCTTTGCTTGTTCTCCCCTCTTTCTGCCTTTGACTCACTTCTCCACTCATAGCTCTTTTACTGTCACTGTTTGCATATATATACAAACTCACTTTGTAGACCAGGGTGGCCTTGAACTCAGGGATCCACCTGCCTACCAAGGCTGGGATTAAAGATGTCCACCACCACATCAGGCCATTTTACTTTGCATTTTTAGGAAATATCTTTTAAAAAATGTATGTGTACATGTGTGGGTGCTTGAGGCCAGAAGAGTGTCAAATCTAGAGCTGGAGTTACAGGGTTGGGAGCCACGTGACATGGCTGTTGGAAACCAAACTTGGGTCCTCTGCAAGAATAGCCATTGCTTTCTCAACTGTGAGCCATCTCTTCAGATTCTGTGGTTTTGACATCTTGATTGTGTCTTGGAGAAGTTCTTTCAGATTGTGTTGTTTGGGGTTCTAAATGCCTCTTCTCCATTGTTTTCACAGAGATGGAAGAACCCCTCCCCCCCCACATCATTTCTTTGAAGGGGTTCTCTGTGCCATAAGTTTAGTGTTCATGGCTATATGTGTCCATGAGTACCCAAGTACATATGACTTGTGTGCAGGGGTATACATGTGGAAGCCAGGAGGGCATCCTCTTCATTATCGTGAGATGAGTCTCTGATTCTGAGGCTTCAGGGTAGCTGAGAACTCCTAGGATCAGTTTTTCTCTGTCTTTCTCTCTACAAAAATAACTGGGATTACAGGCACTTGTGGCTATGTTTAACATGTGTGCTAGAGGTCTGAGCTCAGGTTCTGCATACAAAGGACCTATCAGCCCTGTGCCTTGTCTTCCTCTCAGCTCCTTCCACCTATAGCTTTGATATTTTAATCTTATCTTACAGTTCTCTAAGTTATGACTAGGCTCATTTACTTGATGTCAGAATGCAGTATATCCTTGAATTTGTCCTCCATGTGCTAATCTCTTATTTTTTTTAAGCTGTCTTGCAGTTCCTTCCCACAGACCCACTAAATAGTTCTGAGTCAAGCAAAACCACAAGTTATGTGAAGCATTTCCAATGTGTGGCTACTGGAGAAGTTCCTTCGAGATAGATCTCAATGAGTCTGATAATCTTTAATCTGCTTGACAGTCTATTGGTGTTCCCTACTGTATTTACTTAATTACCAGAAATTATGATCAATTACTGAGATCCTAATTTCCAACAATTTCCTGCCAGATAATGTAAATTCCCTTTGTCTCCTATGTAGCTGAGTTTATTCACATTTTTATTTTCTTTTTCATCTTGCTGAATTTCTCATTAGATACAGGCTTTTGTTCCCATGTATTGGACTCACTTCTTTAATTATCTTCTTGCTTGTAATATCATTGGGTCATTGACCATTTTTCTTAGTTAACTTTTGAGATCTTTATTGGTGTTTTACCTGTATGTCTTTGAATTTCATATTTGAGAAGTTATAGTCTTTTTCTAGAATAATTGATGATTGCCTTTTCATGTTTACTGTTTTTTGTTCTTACATCATTGTAGCAGGATACTTATTCTGCTACATTGTATTTGCAGTGGAGCTCGGTGATTAGGCAGTAGAGGAGGAGAGAGGGAGAGAAAGAGAGTAAGGGGAGGGGAGAAAAAGAGGAAGGAGAGGGGAGAAAGAGAGGAAGGGGAAGAGAAGAAGGAGGCTATCAGCCATGGAGAACCATGGATAGGTAGAAAGCTGTCCTGGGTAGCAACTTCTATCAAAAGGTTTGATATTGGGTAACAACTCTAATTGTATGGGCAACTTGTTGATTGAGCAATTTTAAATATATAAATCCTTTAGACAGTCATTAAGTTTTAAGAGTCTTATTTCTACCAGGTACTACAAGGATGGCAGATATTGTCTGAGGTTCAGCCGAGCTTTGTGGATGCAGTGTGGGGGATTGGCCAGGTCTCATGGGTGCCAGGGCCCAAACATCTAGCTAGCCAGAGCCCCAGTCAGAGCTGAAAAGCAGCGGGAACATGGAGGCTGCCCAGGAACAAGCTGGACCGGGCACAGTTTTCTAAGTATCACCCCTACACATCATAATTTTTTTGTGTGTATATGCATATCATGGTGAGTGTTATGTCAGAGAATAACCCTGAAGGGTTCCAGGGATTGAGCTTGTGTGATCTCATGGTTAGCTTTAGTTGTCAACTGTACATACCTGGCAAGAGGAAAATTCAACTGAGGAATTGCTATCATACTGCTCTGTGAGGCATTTTCTTGATTGCTAATTAATGTAGGAAGGCTGTAAGCAGTGGCATCCCTAGGTAGGTGCACCTAGGCAGCAGAAAAGGCTGGTTTTAAAAGGCAGGAAAGAAAATTTTGTCATGGCCTTTGT